ATTTTTGTATGCTGAATTACTTAACAATATGGAGTTACTCTAGATTTAAATTAAAAGATGAAAAAAGTTTTTGTTACAGTATTGCACAGTTTTTCGAGGCAGATTTGTTTAAAAACATTATATATATTGTCAAAAATGTCTCATGTCATGGCTAGGACAAGATAAAATTTGATTTTTCTGGTTTAAGATAATTATACAAATTTCGGTCTATTTATTGAATGTGTATGTTTTGATTTTTATTATTTACAGAAATCGTTGAGAGCTATAAAAACTAAACAGCTGCGTCAAATTATAGAAAAGCGAGAAATCTAATGTTGTACAAAAAAAACGAGGAAGAAGAATTAAATATGCTTTCGCGTGGAAACTTTTGTGTTAACAAAAAATATAATATGAAAATTGGAAGGAATTGTGAGTCGCCCCGGAAATGAAGAATAAATGAAATAACAGCGGTCTGAATGTGAAATAAGTTGGTAATAGAGAGAAGGGAATGAAATAATAAAATATGCAAATTGGTCCACAGAACAAGAAATCAAGTCTTTTGGTGGGCTACTTGAGAATTCATAAAAGATGAGTAAAGTTATTTCATCATTCATGTGACTTACTTCTAGCGTTTTGTGATGACAAATTGATGTCGGTCCATTGACTTTGATGTTTCATATTTTTATGATTTCTCCGAATTATAGAGATGTCAATTACGTTTTAGCTACGAGGTTAGTCATTTTTTACAAGTAGACAAAAAAATATACATAATGAAATTCATATGCGCCGCTGACTACCAAGGTTTTATTTATTCATCTGACGTCAGACGTAAAGACCAGCATTATGATGTTTTATTGAAAGTAATAAAATGAAGATAAACATAAGAAAAAAGGATCATGAAATTTTGCAAGCCACAAGAAAGGATTAAATCGAAGCGAAGAATAAAGATCGTGGTTTTATTTAATTCCATTTCCTTTACTTGCATAAATTTTTCGTAATTTAAAATTGAAAACTTTTTTTATAGCAACTTGTGGTCTTTTAATGAATTCACTTCCAAAATAAAACTAATTTTGAAATTGGAACCTCTTACAACTCAATTTAGAAAGCTTTTTTGACAGATACAGCAGGCGTTAACACAAGTGACTAACTTTAATTTTTTTTATGCTTCCTCGGTATGTTTTGAGTCATGCAATTTTGTGATGCTTTTGTAAAAAATCAACCTTTAAGTTAAAGACAACTATTTTTATTTTATCCAAATAAGTATGTATACTAAATGAATGTAATAATTGGTAATAATCCATAAAATTACTAGTCTAATCTCATACTCCTTTCTACGAAAACTAGAGCATAATTAAATGAATTAACGAAGGGATTATAAAGTTTCAATCTCGAATTTGAATGAGGTTTATGTATGCATCCTAAAGCACCAATTTAAGAGATTAAGAAAGGTCATTTTCCTTAATCAAAATTCTGAGTTTGCTCATTAAGTGATTAAAATCTCCCAGTTGGCATACAAAAACAATACCCATAAAGTCAACGAGAATTTCAAAAGGTAGCTCTTCCGATATGTCAATACAAATATTATTTCTCACATATGAAAATATAAAGAAGGAGAGAATGAAAAACTCAACAAAGTGTAAACTGAATTTTAAGCTAATTAACGCTTTTCATATTGAAATGATGGTTAAACATCATTTTGTCGAATACATACGTAAATATAAACATTATTCATGGGGATTGTTGTTTGACTGTTCAAACAATAGAATGAAGGAGAGGGGAAAGAGTGTCATAAAAGATAAAAATTATACGCTCACTTCATTCATCACCTCAAACACTGGTTGCATGACATCCGAAAAAAGAGTCATCAAATTTATACTTTTTAAGAATATCTGCACATATTGTACAGTGTATATATAATTTTCATTGTTAATAATTTAGAGAATTCAGGAGACTGAGTCTGGCTTAAAAGCTGTCTAAATGTTGGGTGTAAATAAAAGTCAATGAACAAGAAGTTAGACCAGTTGAAGTTCCCAAACCTTGTTTGTAGAGTGCAAAATCGATAATCAAACTAAGGATAGTACTAAGCTTTTGCCGAGTTTTTTTTAAAAATGTTAATAAAATAAAAACCACAAAAACTCAATAATGCCTTACCTGTTGAATCATTATTTTAGTACAGCTATTCGGAGGGAGCAAAGAAGTTTTTTTGAACAAAACAAGAAACAGCAAACATATGTGAAATTCCCACAAAATTTACCTACTTATCATTCATATTTTGTTTGCTTACCGCGAAAAATACGAGGAGAAATAAGTGAAACATTATTTAATGAATTTGTCTTGAAACTCTGTAAATGTTTTTTGTGTATTTACATCTACTTGAATTAGATTGTGCTATGTCACATATGTTCACTCAAACGCACGCTTCCTCTTATTTTGAATTTAAACATTCTTGTGAATGTGATAAAAAAGTTAAGAACAGCAAAAGTTATTAATTTCATGTTCCGGTATTTATATTTCTAAAAGTACACGACAGTGCTTATAATATTTTACACGATTATGAATGAATGAATGAGGGAAAGAACTCCTTGCTTTTAACAAAATAATTGTATTTACAATTATCATTAAAGCTCCTTATAGAGTTGCATTTTTGCAAGTACATGTTAAAAACATATTTACTCTGGTAGTCATCATCTATTTGACCTTCCATTCATCTATTTGCAGCATTACATTTTCTTGCACTATTGTGCTCGTTTCACTATTGACAGATGTTGTTAATTATTATTATTATTATTATTGTTATAGCTTTATGTTATGTGAACAGCTTTGTTGATATTAAACTTGTCGTTTTAATGGACTTGGCATGGGAAAAAGCATTTTTAATAAAAAGGGGAGAAGAGAATTTATTTGCTTGGTTTTCATAATTTTTATCTACCCTCTCATTGTTGTTGGTTCACTCATCCTGTTGCCTGAGAGAGTACATAGAAATTTAATGATAAAATGAGTGTACATTAATGTTACACTAGACATAAAGTGAATAATAATTGTATTATAGAGCCAACAATGACCAAAGAAGCACTTGCGCTTCTGTTACATTGTATCATCTATTTATAAAATAATTGAGAGCAAAAAATATTGCGGCATAAGCAGAGGGCATAAATTTTAAAGTAATTAGATAACAATTTAAATACTTGAATTCCGGCTTAAACGTTTTCCTTTAAAATTTCTAATCGGGTATTTATAATATAACAATAGAATAAAATGGAATGTAGGTCAACAATCTGAAATTCTCCGAAATTGATAGCAAATATTTGCTATATATAGAACGTAAACGGCATTGTATTGATGTTAAGGCTTGAATACGCTTACATAAACTGATATCAAAATACCAAAAATGCACAATTTTCTCGCAATTTCTCTATTTGCTCTCTAATGGATTTTTTGAACTTAACTATCATCTACTTCATATTCCTTTTCATAGTTTTCAAAATAATGGAATGGGGCCGTTCACTTATGACGTCCACGGGGGGGGGGGGGGGAGGGGTTCAGCAAGAAAAGAACAATAGAAATTCCTGGAAATCCATTGTTCTTTTTTAAAAAAAGACCGTTAATTTCGGACGTCATAAGTGAACGATCCCAATAAAAGGCAATGAATCGAAGCATTACACAGTAAAGTTTATTTAACCTTTTGCTCAAGCTAGATTCTTCTTTACTTTAATATTATCGAAGAATAGAAATAAATAGCAAAATGATATTGTTATTATTTTTACACTAAGCACATGGCATTACATCACATCATTTACAGTAAGAAAATGTTTCAAGTCAAGTGAAGCTCCCACTCATTTACTGTAAAAAGGAATGAAGTTTCTTGGATGACAAAAATAAATTTATACATACACCTGCTCCCTGTTGTCTGCTATTCAAATTCATTCATAAATTCATAGTTCTACTTAGTTATAATTCTGAACATGTTTTAAAGCTTAAAGACATAATGGGATGAGTAAATGTTTGCAATAAATTTAAAGGATATTCATCTAGATGCTATGTGTATTAATCTTAAGTATTTAAACAAAAAGTCAAAACAACCAAGCCTAATCCTCAAATATTGGCTTCCAAAATAAACAAATTGTAAAAATATATGAACATAATTCTCCTCCTAGTCTATAAGCTCTCCAAAAATATTTACTAAATAGCAAAGAAGTAAAGAAGCCGAAAAAATTTCTTTGACGCGAGGCATCATCTTTGACTCTTCTTTTTGATCTATTAACACTTGTTTGTTAAATATTTTAAGGCATCAATAATATTTAAATGACGATCTCGGCGACTGTAATATTAAAATTTTCTCTCAATATACTGTTTATGCATCAATCATGTCATAAAAGTGCTTCTCAAAGCACGTGTTAAAGAGGCACTACAATATGATTTAAAAAGTATATGGATGTGAAGTGCTTGAAGTAATATAGAGAAGAATAGGAAAAATAAGTTTGAAAAAGAAATTTAAAGAAAGAGCAAGCAAATGAAATTAGTAGCACTTAAGAGTGCTCTTAAATCACAATACCTCACAATCAGAATTTCTTTAGGAAGTAAATGGAAGTGTAAAGTTTAAAAAAATGTTTGAATTTTTAACTTTTTTATCAAGTTTGAATTTTGTTAAAGCTTACATTAAGGAAAAGTCAATTATTTCGATCCCTACTCATTTAGACCAACATCTGCCAAACATGTTGCGTACCAAAAATCAATTTCCAATATTTTTTTAAATCTCAGACCAAAGTTTATAAAGGATTTCTATGAATCTAGTATGTGAATGGGTAAATTGACATGAAAGAGCTGTTTAGCTGTTCCACTGAATGTGGAAAGAAAATTACACCAACAAGTGGTTGTTGATTAAATTGATTGAGAGAGATATGCTTTCTTACCTACAGCAGTGTACATATACAGAATATTTAAAATTCATTTTCTGTTTAAATGAGGGGATTTTAATGCCGCACGCATTGTTTTATCATCTGGCGATGAGAAAAATTACTTACTTGACTGGTGCCTGTACTAATGTCCAATCATAGCCTTCTAGAACTTTCATTACCGCCGTGTTGATCTGCTCATTTTCTGGTTTAGTATGATTATGCTTAATTTTTGGACGGACAGTACTTATTACTAACTTTTCAACAATTTTCGACGCAGCTCTTGCTAAGTGTTGTTCTCTATTTGTTGAATCCATCTCAATTTTATCCTTATTACGTTAATATTAAATTAGATCGCTTCTTGAACTTATAAAGACACTCTATTTCTGGCACAACGGATTCTCATAAATAATTAAAATGTCTTGTGCAAAAGTAAAGGAAAAAGTTTCACTTCGTTGCTGTTCAGCTTTCAGTTAAGTGAGCGAAAAAAATTCTTTTATAATTCAATAAAGTTTGAAACTTGAAAACTTTGTAATCAATTTACGATAGAAAAGGGAACTTAGTTTTTCTTGTTTATTTGATTTTCTTTTCTCTGCCTTCAAAGTTAAACTGCACATACGTCAGTTGAATTATTTTTATTTGTTTTATCCTCAAAAGAATAGCAAACTTTTCGTAAAATATAGATATGGAAGTTATATTTTTAATTAATAGAGCAGTGTATCAGTTGCAAAATGTCAATTAAATTTTCATCTCACTTCACTTTACTGAACTTTCCTTTCAATTTCACAATTTCATGCTCTTTTCTTTATTTATTTGTATCTGCTTTGTTTTCTTTTCTTTTATTTCGATTTCACTCTATTTCTATTTCTTTTCATAATCCTCTATTGTCTTAATATGTTCATTTCTTTGTTGATAGAACTACGAACAGAACAGATGAACGTCTCGATTAAAACTATTTTCAAGTGTCACAAATGATGAATCTTAAAGTCATTTTTTTCATCTCTTTAAGTCTTTAAACGATAAGTTTACAGTAAAAAAATTTAATAACACTGTATAAGAATTAACACATGTACATCTTAACTGCGATTCGTAGACATACATTAAAGACATTGACGAATGAGTGTGGAATGAGAAAAAAGGCGGTCTGTAAATTCATTTGTTTGACTATTATTTCTTTGTGGGTGAACACAAAAACCTTTGAAGTCGATATCTTTGTATGTATATTTTTGGTTTTATATTTTTATTTCAAAATGTTAAAGCTCCAAAAATTGTTTTAAATCTTGTTATTTTTATTTCATGTATAGCCTTGTTAACTTAGTAGAATTGTGTGTCTATAATTTCTTACAGGAAAATACTGGCTGGACTTCACTTGGCTTTAACTTAAAGTACCATCGATCCTTTTCAGAAAAATATTCTAGTTATTTGTAATGACATAAGAAAACGATTCCTTTTGGATGTTTGGCAAAAAGAAGTGACAAATTACAGCTCACATTACAGAAATGTGTTCATTGCATAAAATATCCAGAAAACGAATTATAGAATATACTGCCGCTACATCAATCATAACTTGATACATAACAAAAAGATACAAAACACATAAAGTGTATAAGTTATAGAATTCTCACACATCCCTTTAAGGGAGATTAATAAGAGATTTAAGGCATCATCATATTCTCATAAATTTTCCTATAAGTTAGTTATCGAGAAAATATTATTATGCTTAAGCAGCAAAACATTGTGTAAGGAATATTGAAGATTTTCATTGAAAATTAAATCGAGCTTCAAAACTTAAAGCGTTTCATCCTACAATCTTTAATGTTTCTTAAATGATGATGTAAAATAAAATCCAAAGTTTATCATTTTGCCATTATCAGAAAATTGCTCTTGGCAGACATTGTAAAATATAAAAGTTTTTATATAAATGTATATAAACTTACATATGTATTGCTGTCAAAAGCTCTAAACTTAATACTTAACGTTTTAACTTTTTTGGATTGTCATTTTTCAAGCTCTTTTAAATTTTCATACCATAATAAATGACTACTTACGAAATAATGTAAGCGTGAGATATGAATAAATGTATGTAATGTAGATGAATTTTTAAATTATCCAATGATACTTGTTGATCTCTCACTCTTTTGTCCCATAAATTCGAGTTCTCTTTCGCACAATATCATTAATGAATGTTTATGTTTTTATGAGAATATATGGAATGAGCATAAAAAATGAAAATGAGGGAGATAGTAACAGTTTCCATGCAGTCTGAATGATGAAAAATTTCCACATCAACCACGTTTTCGTTCGGTTGTTGTTCATTATTTTTTCAGTTGATAATAATTTTAATGAAACAATGTTCAGCAGATTTAAAATGATTGTCATTATTTTATTCTGGATAAAGTTTATAATATGAGTTAATTGAATTTTAATCTTTTGCATAAATATTATTGATTAAAATTCAAGCTGTCATGTGTGAAAATAAAGCTGTTCCGATGAGAAATAACAACAAAAATGGTCGTTTCAAATTTTCATAATAAATTTTCGGTTGGTGATTTAAAATCTTACAACAAACAACAGTTTGAACTTCTTTCATGTTCAGCGAAAAGTAATTTCATGACGACTCTTAAGTTTAAGTTTAGTATCGATTCATGATAAGGTTGAACTTAGACAATGCAACGAATTCAATGAAATGTGTGAACAAGTATCCTTGATTATTACACTATTAAAGATATAATCAAGTCATTTATCATGTTTTAAAATTTCTTTACATTCCTTAGCTAACAATGAAAAAAAGTTCAAAGTCATTGAACATTAGACAGGAATTCTTATTGCAGCAAGGCATACATCATTAGCTTAAATATGTGAGGAAAGACTAATAATGTCATAACTATCAAATGATTAGTCATGATTCTTTCAATCATTTTTGATTCCTTCAACCATCTCATGTTGAGCTGTGTAAGGTGTGTGAAGGAACAAGACTATAAAATTTGCTCCAACTACTTCTCCACGTTGAATGTCTTAATTTAATTTTGCCAAATCTCTTTGGATGGTTTCCACTTGGTTTTTTATTTCATCTCTGCTTCCATGTATATCATCTGTTTTCCTTTCGTTCTTATTCCTTTTTATCGACACAATATTGAAATATGATGCTTTGTTTACTTTTGCGGTTCTTCTTTTATTTATATTCTTTTACGAGTCTTCGGAATTTACTTGAAGGATTTCACACTCTCAAATTGCCTGGCTCATCTGATTGATGTGTTCTTATACTTATACTTTATAAATAAATATTTCTCTTTTAGGTACTTTTTGCCGAAAAGAAGAAAGAAGGGAAAAGTGCTTTAAGAGGGGCTCAATATCATTATACTTTTTATTATCTATTTGGATCTTAAAGGAAAGTGTGGTAGATAAACTTTATGGCAGTTTGTTATAAGTTCGCAATATTTATAAAGGACAGCAAGCAACTCTAAAATAATGTTATGGAATTGGATTAAAACTTTTGTAACTTTGTGAATTTTTTTCAATTTATTCAATATGCAACTTTTATTGGAAGTACTGTACAAAGAGGTTTTAAACTTTATAGTGACAATTCAGGCATTTACAATGATCTATGTAGTGCAGTGTTGTCCAAACTTTTAGTGCAACTACACACCTTAGTTGCTGTAACGTCTTGAGCATTGTATCAACTCTTATCTAATCAAAAATATATTTTATAATGATTGAGAAAGCAGTCTTTTTAAGAAGAGTGAAAATCGACTTCCTAGATACAGATTTTTATTCTGTTCTGCTTACACTTTCTATGACTCAAAAGTATTAGTTTAAAATGACTTATATCTTGCTATGCTAAATATTTTTAATGTTCCAAGCATTAAACCTTTGGATAAATTAAATATAAAGGTATTTATCCTAGATTGTGAATTTTTTTGGGGAAAATCAGTCTTAAAAAATATGAAACACTGAAAATATAGACAATAATAAGAACCCAAAAATAATTAATGCATGTTGAAAAGCAAGGAAAAAAGTAAAAGTTTTTTAGACCTTTTCTTTTTGATTGTATAATACGATGAGCATAAGCAAGCGAAAAATGCTAATGCACCGGAAACATTTCATTAAATATTCAAATGCTTTTCAATATTTATCATCAACTCAACTCGTTCTTCTCATTTCTAATTGAAATGCAAAGTGAATATACATCGAAAAATGGAAACAGTATAAGTTATTCTGATGCTGCCGTTAAAGAAGTACGGAAGACTACTTAAGTCTATACACTCTTTTGTAAAATTAATTGAATGAACGAAGCTGAAAAATGGAACAAAAATGAGATTTTTATACTATAATTAACATTGCTAGAGTACACACTGTGCTTTACAATTTCTTATTTACCATCTTAATCTTCATTCTAACTAAGATCGTAATTTTTGAGTTGAGTTTTAGGAAGGCGTTGAGAGTTCTGTGAGAAATTAAATATTGATTTTACCCTTTGTATTCAGCATTTTCTTTTTTCACTTACTCTGAAAATGTTCAATCTGGTTTATTCGGTGTGGAAGTAATTAAAATTTTAAATAAAATCATTAGATTTTTGAAATTTAATCAGATAGATTTTTGGAACATAAATAATTAGTTTCTAGTCAAAAGCTTTGAGTGTTTTTTTTTTACAAAGCTTAAATTCATGAATGTAAAATGTTGAAGATATTCACTGAACTTTATGGATTATATTGAAGCATGCTTATTTTCTGTTACTTTCCAAGTAACACATCTATAATTTCCTACGATATATTGAACATAATATGGAATATGAGGAAGAAAAATAACACATAATGCTTTGAAAAAAATACATAAAACCTTTTCCTTACACTTCGCATAGCAATTTAACAGAAATTTTATTGAATGATTCAATTTTCATCATTGGTACATTATCTGCAATGCTTTTCATACAAAAAAAGAAAATCTTTTTTCAGATGCAGAGCTTACAGAGATATCTGGGGAGGTAAATCATATTTTCTGTTTCGCATAAATGATTTATAACAAAAAATGATACCTCTCAACAGATACATTAGTACAATTACAGAAAATGAGATGAAAATTGATATTTTTATATGAAATTTTTCTTGACACAAAAGCCTTATTTGGAAGATTAAATGTGAAAAGCATGTCTTGAGCTCGAAGTTTGTGACTTCTGTCAACTGAAGTAAGACATACACATTTTCACAGTGAATACAAAAAAGTATTCGCAAGGAATGAAAATAGATATAGTTAATTATTAATGATGACTTTGCTAATCATTTAGAAATGCTGAATAGTTGCTGGAAATACAATTTTCATCTAGCTCATTTTCATAATTTAGAAAGCTTGTTCAAAAACTCTTTTCCCGAAAGAATGAAACGTTTTTGCGTTGCGAAGGATTTACATTATTCAATATTTCAAAGTATGATTGCATTACTGAAAATTTCTAACGACAAAAGACTCTGAAAAATAAAATTATGATGCTATTCACCATTGAAATGATGTATGCATGCATGTACTTGAATATAATGGATTTAAATATAACCTTTTAAATCGTTTAAAGTCACATACTATACATGATGTTTACTTAGACTCAGCTACTCGTGTTGTATACTGGAAAAACAGCCAATTTTCGTAAAGATGCCTTCGAGTTTATAATTCTGGATTTTTCCAATAATTCTTTAATGTCATTTTAAAGGTAGTTTAATGTTCAAAGTGAGCTGAAGTGGCTCGGTGGCTGAATGGTTTAGTACTTCGGTTCCTAATTACTGCAATACCGACACAGCAATCATGGGTTCGAGACTGGGAATGGGAAATTTTTCACTTGTCCTTTTTCGAATCATATGTACTGGAAATGATGCTCACAGCCTTACTTTACAGGCTACAGACATAAATGTCATCAAAGAAGTGGTTCGGATTCCACTATAAATTGTAGGTCTAGGTTTGAGTGCAGTGGTTTGGCGCATCCTCACTCGTTAAACTCTGATTAGCTGCGAATCGCCCTAGCGCACCTCTGGATCACAATTGATCTGAATAGGTAAAAGTTTTTTTAATGTTTAATTAGAATAATTACTTTGCTACAGGAAAATAAGCTACACAAATTTAATTCATTTTGTAAATCTCTTTCATTTTATTTTCATTTTTTATGGACAGTTCTTTTTTTTTCATTCAAATCTTTGATAAAAAATAAAATACATACAGTTTTAATGACTTTACATTCCACTACCATTTTTATTTTTGATACTATTTTCTATGCTTACGAGCATTACAAAGCTCTACTTTTACTTAGCTTTCAAAAATTGTGTATACACTTTCAAATGGTTTTTTTGTGTGCAAGTACAGCTATGCACGTTCTACATATAAAGTTGATTATATTTTTCATCATTATATTTTCGACAATTTTTGAGAGGCTTTATACTTTTTATAGCATATCCATTTTAACTATGCATATAGAGTTACATTGATATTTAAACAGATTTCATAAAAGTTGGTTCGTTTGATGTAAAAATCCAGAATTTCACAAATAGTTTTTATTTTGAAATTTAACGAACCATAATCTGCTAATACCTTTTCTTGTTGGAGGTACTCAGTTACATTATGAAAGCTCTCTGAGTATAACTTTAATCTCTCATGTTCTGTTAATGCCTTTTGATTGTTTTTCAGCATACGTTTGAAATAATATGAACTGATTCCATCTACTTAGTGCCATTATTTTTCGCATACTAAAGTGAATTTTCTATAATGCAACACATATTTAGAGAAGCTGATGTATTTTGTTGCAAAAGTTAATTAATTATGCAAAGTAATCTGAAGCTTTATGTGATGTTTTCTTTACGTTTTCCAACTATTAAATGAACAACTTTAACTTTACTTTGAGTCGTTATGCTTTATGTAAGTTTTAAAACTTTATCCAGTAATGAATGATGTAATGTAAAACTTCATTGAGGATAAATTTTTATTAGAATCAAGTTTCATCAGCTTTTTGACTTAAAATAATTTCACATCAGTTTTATAATAAAAATGAAGTATTTAATTACGGCGGCAAAAATTTCTAAATTTTTGACAATTAAGAACAATGTAAAGAATTATTTTAAATGCCAACAAATACTTGACACTTTTACAATTTTTTGAAAATGAATCCTGGTATGACCACAATATTGCCACAATAAATAAAATCGTGTTTTTCGTGAAACTAATAACTTACACGCTTTTTGCGTGGAAGTTAAAGTAATATGAATTAAATCCGTAAGAATTTTTGAAAATTTATGATTGGTGGATCTTTAACAAACAATTATCAACAAAAATCTTCTGTCAGAAGTTTCATTATTTGAAAGCTAAATAGGTCCAGTTCCTTGCTATAAAAAAAGGTTAGTCGTCATTTGTAACGACATGTAACATAACCAAAAACATCTCTTAATTAATATTCATGTATTTGAACATTAAATACTAAATGCAGCACGATAAGACAAAAAAGGTTCAGTCAGTATTTTGGGTACAATTTCATTTTTTAATTGACCATGAAAAAACCCATACCTTGTATCATGAGGGTGCTTAAAACATTTTTTGGGAGCTCTCATTTCTTTAATTACCATGAGAATGCTTTTTATGAACTTTATTAAAATAAACAACTTTGATTTTAAAATTTTTAAGATCATCATCAAATGTCTTCTTAATTTTAAATGCCTTCTTTTAGCAATTCCAATTTCCCATATTAAAATAATTTTTTTTCATATCACAAATATAATACAGAATTTTTCTTTCTCAAAAGCTTTGCTATTAAAGGAAATAATTTTTTTTTATATTTTTCAGTTCATCAAAGTGGAACTATCATGGTGGAATGAGATACTTTGGTCAAAATTTGGCAGGATCTAATAAAAAAAGATGTATGGGAAGTAAAAAATTTGACAAGAATCTGTATTCAATCAAATTTTGAAAAAGTAACATTTTACGATGAACATTTGCAGTTCATTCATAATCAACCTTCATATTTAAATTAACTTTAATTCAGAATTCATACTTTTATAAAAATAAATGGATGAATATTTTATTAAGTTAAAATTTACTTAAATAATTAAAGCAAGCAAAAAGCTTTATGAGTTAAAGGCTACACTTGAATGAAGGTAAGTTTTATAAAAACGGCTTTCGCAAAAGCTTCGAGAAAATTCGTTTTCTAATTCCAAAAAGGGTCAAAAATTAATTACATTATTTCTTACTTCTCTTCTAGCTTTTTATATATTTTTCTCTTTATTTAATCGTCATTTTGTTTTGTTCTCATTGGGCCGTAATATAAAGGATATGGATTATGAACGAGAACTTTTAATGTGTTCTCTTTTGCGCTTTTTTTGCTAATTTTTTAATAGCCATCATTAAATCCTAAATGAGTCTATGTGAAGGCAAAAAAAGTTAATAAGAGTAAGAGAATCATCCAACGGAGTAAATGACATATAAATTGAAATAGATCTAAAACTTTTATGACTTTCTCTTTCACTTTTCCCCTTTTCTGCCATCACGATAATTAGTTTTTGATAATGAAAGATTAAGAAACCAATTTACAAAAGTCTTTCCAAGTCTTCGCTTTCTGCGTCACTCGTGCACGTCTCAGAATCGGAAAAGTCACAATCATCTCGACGATTTCGTCGACAACAAGATTGATACTCATCAGAATCGCTCCAATGCTCATATTGTTCCTTATGATGCTCCAATAACATTAATGATGGAAATAATGTATCACATCCTCCACATCTATAATGAAAAGAACAAACGATGAATATTAACGTGTGTTTATGTTTAAGTTCATTTGAATAACACAGAATATCCAAGAAACATCAAAGTATCCTTTTTTTTCATTTTCAAAGAGTGTGTTCCTTTATTGTAGCAACAATTCTTTCATTTTTATGCGTTTGATATGAAAATTTCTCATTCCTATTCATAATTTTCTTAAATGCTGAGTGCGTGATTGTGTAATCCATTTTCAAATAATTATCTTTAATATTTTTTTTTGTAAAGCTATTCAAACTATAATTATAGATTTAATGGATATAGAGCATTAATATATATTTTGGGTAATTTTAGTTCTTCTTTTCGAGTTTCTGTTGTGAATAGGGTCTTTAATGCAAATTGGATTGCCGAGTTTTGATTGTTGCCATATGCATCATATAATGGAGCAGAACTGGAGGTTTTTGAAGGTTTAAAAAGTATTTTATGGTAGGTTTTGCGGGATTCCCTAAAACGGGTCCCTAAAACACTAGTTTTATATGATAAAAGATCTGAAAAGAGCTCTCGTTTTGAATCAATAAATTTTATTGAGTATGATTTAAAAATAATTCTGAATTTCAATATTTTACATTATGTGAATTTAATGCTAGTAAGGAAATTTTTACGAATTTATTGTACAAGTTCTTGTCTCATGTGTTCCCACAGAAAAACAAAATGATCTCAGTGAAGAAAATAAATTAAAACAAAGCTGCTAGGCTGCTTGAAGACGAAAAATATCTTCGTTAAATTTGTTTCATAAATCAGGTGAACTATAAAGCATAATTTATGACTATAATAAACCTAGAAAATTCAAAATTTGTGAATATTTTAAAAAAAGTATTTTTTAACTAGTGTATCGAGTAGAAACCCAATGCGGCCATATTCACACCGTACTATCAAAAGTCTTATGAATAGATCAAGATTTGCTCAGCATAAGTTTGAAGGTATAAAGCTAGCGAGTCAGCTGAGCTTAGCTCAGCATAAGTTTAAAGGTTTAAAGCTTAACGAACGTTCTTTAAAAGTTTTTTAAAAAAAATTTTTCATCCAAAGTTTAATTTTATAAAAATCACAGTAAACTTTTTTTTTGAAAAATTCGTAAGAAAGGAAAGTTTTTTGCTTTTTCTGAAGCAACGGCTGTTCCTACCTTTCTCAAAAACAAAACAGCTCTTCTATAGAGCAGCACGGATCAAATGTAAAAACAAGAAATCTCTACGATGTCTCGTTATTGAGATTTCTTGCTGATTAACTTGTACAACAAGCGTTGTTTGCTTGCTTAGAGAAAGCGTGTTTTGCGATTTTCTCAGCAATGCCGCAACCAATTTGAAATCTGTTTTTTGCAGAAGATGTAAATTTTTAAGCACAAACTTTTCTTCTGTGACCTTTTATAACCAATTTTGCTTCATTTTCTCACAAAATGCGAAAAACTGATTTTTCAATCTGAACAAAACCAATAGATTCACTCGTGAAGGCGGTGTGAATATAAAAAAATTCATTTTGATTCTTTTTTGATGTTGGACAAATATTGGCATATTCTTATGTTATTAATTTTGCACAGAAAACCACATAGACAAAAAGATTCAACCTTAAAGTATGTGATAACTTTGAATGAGAATAAATAAATAATAATAATAAATGTGTTAAGTTTGGAATAATCAAAAAACAAATCTCAATCCCCGACAGAAAATCCAAGCTTTTATACACAAATCCAATGACATATAATTATCCAACAATGTTTCTTAACTTCCAACACACTTAAATCTGTGAATAAAATCAGAATGTAAAGCGAGGTTGTGAAGCAAACAATAGTTTATTCTTTTATACGTGAAAAATTCATTGTGGATTGGGTATTATACATAATATATCTTTTAGATTTTATAGGTTACATCTCGTCAAAAGAAAATCCAAATTTAGACAGTAAAAAGGAGATGAATGTTATCATTCATTGAACCCAAAACTTTTAAATGTGTTCTTGTAAAAAATTGGTGTTGAGCCAATTTGAACCGAAAGCCATTAATAGTCAAACTGAAGGAATACCCTTCATGCATACCAAAGAGATCTGTTTTAAACGGAGAGGATATTTTTTTATTAACATACTGCTTTATCACTAGGGGTGTCAAGTACAAATCCCAAGTACTTGGGTCTTTGGATTTTTTTGAAAGGATTAGGGATAGCCTAAGTACTTGTTTCAATCCTAAAGAATTAACTATTTTACAACGCTAAAAGAAATCCCAGAAATAAAAAATGTGAATTTTTAAGGTTTTGCTGTTTACAAATTAATTCATTCAAAAATTCAAAATTTAAACTTATGAAAGCATCTGTCAAACATTTAATTGATAAAAAAAGTTTGTTGGCACATATAGCAATGTAAATACATTGTCTGACCATTTTATACTGCCTTTCCTGAAAACCCAAATCTTTGACAGCACTATGTATCACCCTTTTTAAAAGTATGTATTTAAATATGTTTCAGATGGCTCATGTTAACACTCATTTTTCTTTTATGACTTTATAATAAACTATCAGAATCCACCAGTTGAAGATTCATTCCGGAAATGTGTAAATATGGGGATTTATATTTATCATCCTTAAAAAAGGTCCATAATATTTTGTTTTCATTCCAAATGAAGCGAAGAAGATAAAAGTAAAAATTCTGAAAAGGCAGACTTGTAAACATTGAACAGATGAATGCAGAGGAAGCTAGGAATTTTCTTTTAGTCCTTTTTAAATTTGTTCCTTTCCTTTACGAATCAAAGACTTAACAAGAAGAAAGTAGAAAGAAAGATTTTCGCCATTATAAAACATAATCCAATAAATATTTTCTCTTGACCATCGTCACAAGATACAAGGGAAGAATTCGTGTTGATACTTAATTTTGTCCCTGCTTTTATTTGACATACGTAAATATAATCATGAAATTTTCATTTCTTCATCTTCTCGTCCTTCACGACTGCTCATTTCATTTTTTTGTTCATTTATAACTTATAACAAAGAAATAAAAGGCAATGGATTTTTTACAAAACTTAAATAAGGAGCAATTAAGGGCCTTGCTGGTCGAATAGGTAAGGCGTCCTTGCTGGTCGAATAGGTAAGGCGTTTGGCTCAAATTTGGTATGGTAACTCGAAGGTCGTCGGTTCGAATCTAGCCATTTCCAAATTTGTTCTTTTTCAGAAGTTTAGATATATCGACTGCTTAATGTACGAGTTAAGCCATAATTGAGCATTTTGGGCAACGTTGGATTAAGGAACGGATCAGGAACTTGAAGTGTAGCGGGAGAAACAGGAACGAGATCTACAAGATTACCTTATAATAGAATATTGTCAGAACGGACCTGAAATGTATCACGTCACGCCCACAGAAGATTGAAACGAGAGCCTGAATTTAATCGAAACCTAGATTTGAAGATTAGAAGCTTGATTCTACTTCACCCATAGTGATATGAAATGTATCACTAATCAATGTAAAAAGTAAATATGTATAAATACTAATTCTTCCAGACGGTAACGTCGACAAATAAATAGAAAAAAAAAAAATAAAAGAATTACTAAATGAGGTCAAATAAAATTTGATTTTAATGCTGAACATTTCTTGGCATATCGGGACTTCACAGTTAAATTCGGGTTCTTAATTAAAAATCAGACTTAAAAGAAGAATAATTTAACTATATAAAGCAGTGTTTCTTAAACTTTTTTTGTGCACGGTACATTTTTTAACATGAAATTTTTCGCGACACACCTGAACTCTTGCGGCGCACTAAGCGATTTTAATGTCTTTTTTTGAAGTCATAAAACATGAAAATATAGAGCCACTAGTTTGCCGCGGCACACAGTTTGAGAACCACTGATATAAAGTATAAAAAAAATTGGTTGCTGTATCAGTAAGGCAAAAATTAGGCGTTTGAAGCAGTAAACCAACCATTATACTCACTCGCTCTTGAAACCTTAAAAATAATTATAACACACAATAAAAAAAGCAGCCTTGATATTAATTTACAGCCATTGGAAATGAAACGAATGAAGGCAATTTGTGTTAAAATAGAAGAAGTTTTAATTTGGTTCTTACAACAGTCTTGCAACAGTCTAGAACATGAATCTCAAACTATTTCAGTTGCTAAAATAAATTCAATCTGCAATTATTAGATAATTAAGCTAAAGAATAAGAAGACAAAGATTAACTTTAATAAATTTCATAAAATGTTCAACTCAGTACATGGTAAGATCAAATCAGTCTATTCCAATTCAAAATATGAGGAAAAATCAGTGCAAACAAAAACTTTTTCTCATATCCAAATGGAATGACTATGCAATTTTCGCATTAGAATTTGTTTGTATTTGCCTTGAGCATTTTGGCTGTATTTTATTAATATATGATGTTGATTTCAGCATACCAAAAATTGTAAATGTTAAATGGAAGGTCGTTTATTTATTCTGTTCGCTACCGAATGGGTTTTTTCAAATAAAAATTCTCAGTTTAGACTTGATTTGAGAAGTGTTCTGAACAAACACACTTTAAATTATTTAAAAAATTTAAAAAGTTTGATTAACATAAACTATTTTTTTATGCCAGGATTTTTTTTGGCAACAAATTTGTGACAAGTTTTAATGACGAGGAAATGTCAAAAAAAAATCGATACTAATTGAATATTGATTATACCTCAATCACTTATAGTTGTCATTCACGACATGTAACATTTAAGCACTATTGAAACACAAATTTGGTAATGTTCAGTTATTGTCAGTTTCAATACAATAAGTCACGTTCAAATTACCACTTTCATTGTGCATAAATTTGTTGCGAAAATTCAATTTCACATTTAATCACACAACATTCTCATTATATTGAAATAGCAGAAGTATTGATTGATTAATGGTGAAATTGATTGATTGGATAAAAGCAAAAATCTGTTTAATGTATCACAATTGATTTCACTAGAAGCAGTGCTTTTTCAGAACAAAAAGTTTACAGTGTTGTAAATTATTTAGCAAAGTTATTGATTGGGATTTGTGAATGTGATGAAAATCCACTATTAAGATGAATTTGAATTTGAATAAAGGGTCATTTAAAATTAACGTTCATCTGAAACACAAGAAACTAAAAGAATCCTTTAAAATATTGGACATCATTTATGAACAATCTTTTGAATATCTCCTGATATCTATGAAAAAGCTTTTTGTCATAAAATCCAGATTGAGAGCTTAATCAAACTCTTGACATTGTAATTTGATTTTTCATTCACAATGGATTCATTTTAAATTCATTTCCAATACTCTCTAATCAATATTGAAACAGTGAAAATAAAAAATGAAAAGTGCAATGAAAAATGAATTTGAGGTGCCATAATTATTTCAATTTATAATTTCATTTTAAGGAAAAAAAAAAGTTTTATGCAAATATCTACACTTTAAGGGGAATTCTTTTAAGCACATTACTTAATGATTTCATCAGTATGCTGCATTTTATCAGGCATCTCTTTTTTTTTCTTTAACAAATCCTCGTTACGTTCCTGTTACTCAGCAAAATTACTCACAATCATCTTAATTTAAAATTCATAGCTTTTAAGGCTGTTTGCCATAAAATATTTTTCTAACCTCTTAAGATTCTTAAACGAGAGCTTAATTGAAAGTTTGAAAAATATTTTATAGAAGACAATTTTACGAACACAAAAGAATTTTGTCAAGTGAAAATTTCAAGCCTATAAATTTCTTAAATAACAAGCTTAATGGAAAACAGTTGAAATAAATAAATGAACGGCTTTTGTATTAAAAAATAATTCTTTGATAAATAAATTGGAAAAATTATTTATTCGTTTCCGAAATGACGTCTTAATTTAATCAGTCTAATTCAAATCAACTGTTCTTAAATTGAAGAAACAAGCGAGTATTTGATTTATTGCTATCCATTTTCATGATTAAAGTGTGCTATCAAACGTGAAATTGGATAATATAAGTATAAAAAAAAATACTTCTTGATCTACCTTCAGAAAATCGAATTAATGTCTTAATTTATTAGAAAATTCCTGATATTCGTTTAATTTATTGCTTACTTATCTGCTTGTTCATCTCTTAAATAATTCTTAATAATTTGATGAAATTTTTTCGTTCATTTTTATGATTTGCAGTATTTTAACGACCTTAAAGTTCCCTTTAGATGGCTATAAGGTTTATTGTTTGCATACAGCTATTTTCTAGCGAAATTTTACTTTGCTTAAAACTTCAAACTCCATATTTCTTTAATTATAACATTAAAAGTAAATGAATCCTGAATTGGGTAAAATACATAAAGAATACATACTGAATGCTTCTTATTGGATGACTTTATTGAAGGAAATAAATTAATAAAAATTATTCCAAAAAAATAGATTTCATCAGGCAATTAGGAAATTGATTTGTTGCTGATCAGATAAAAACTTAAATTCGATATCAAAACTCAATCAACTTTTCTTAATAATTAAACACTTGTCTTTATTAGGATGTTATAGAAAAATACTTCACACTTGTAAAAAAGTATGGAAACTTAAAATCTATGTTATATTTTTTATGCTAGATCCTTTGCTTAAAAATGTCATAAATAAATTTGAAATTGTTCTGCTAAACGAGAAAATATTTACTTTCTTAAGGAACAAGGCTTTTTGCATGTTTTTAACTCATTATTCTTGTCAGAAAAGCCTTAAAATGTCACTTTATTTTACATCTCAAACAGATGACAATTCTAGTTGAAAACTGCCTTGAGTATTTCCTTCAAATGAAGAAGCATACTAAATTAAAAAGACTTTAAAAAAATTAAAGAAGTCCTTGTGTTATTGATCGAGGGACTTAGGCGCATTTTTGTGTTAGCGATCAGTATTTGATTATCTAATTATTTTGCGTTAATTTACAGATCATTAGAAGATTAGAAGATCATTAATTTTAGTGAAAAGGGTTTATGATTTAACGGGTTTTCGGAATTCAAATCTTTTACCGGTTTAAAAAAATCCAATTTCTGGACGCACCCTGATTAAAATTTTTACATTTGTAGAAAATAATTCAATTTCCTAAACGCACCCATTACGTGTTCTTCATATGAAATAAAAAAATCATTAATTAAAGTACAAATACACTGTTTTAAGAATTTTAACTTTTCGGCCAGCCAATAACTCGATAGAACTGAGCTAATAAAACTAACCCGAGCTCTCGACGATGTCTGGTTAAAAAGTTTTTCTTGCCCCGAACAGCCGAACAAAGTGTATTATTAAGCTACCTTTTAGAAACAAGTTTCAAAAATGCGCTATAAACTCAGCAGAAAAGTTTTATTTTAATACCAATTAATATTCCTCCAAGCAATTTCCGTTTCCATAGTTCGAAGAATTTTAATGCTAATTTAATAAAAAGCCTTTGACTTTGGGATTTCATAAACTCATAAAAGAACGAAAGGTGAGAAATATATCGCGACTTCTTTCTTATGTCAAATGTTCAAAAAACTTGGAATTGCCAGAAGGGAGGAACTTAATGCATAATGATTTTGGATGTGAAATGAGATCTTTTGAAATAGAATACATAACAGCATGATTGACTTTTTATGTGTTTAAAATTTGATGAAATTAAATTCCTTTGTATTTTCTAGACGATTACAATTAAATGACACCATATTGTTTATTCCTATTATATGATGCTGTACTCATTTACTTCTCATCATGGAGTAATTTATTTTCGATCTCAATTGTTTTTAATGTACTTTTGATGAAATAATTGAATTAATATGCTGACGACAGAGATATTTTAATCACAATATTTTTTTTATGTCACACAATTTCAACAATTAATGAAGCATTAAATGTATTTTATGTCTATCAACTTACCCAAAATGCCTCTTTTTTTGCTGATGTGAGGCTAACTGTCGAGGACACTGAAAAGCTCTATCACATACATTGCAACATAGTGATTCATCTGTAAAGAAGCAGTAAATATAAAAAGCTTAGTGCCAAAAAAGGAAAGAAGTTTTGTTTATGTGAGAAAACTTTAAATTTTTAAAAATAAAAGGAATACAAATAAAGCCATCACGTTTTCGAGTGACTATACTTATTTACATAACACTTGACTTTTATTGGGTTTATTAAGTATTATAAGAAGATCATGAAACCTCAATCTAAAAATCCCTAAAATGCAGCTACCCCACTCTTGATACGTGTTAATAAAAAAAAAATCCATACAAATTTTCACCTTCAAGTGATTTAAAATCCCAAAAAAATCCCCATACAAAATGATTTAAATCATAAATCAAAAATAAATTACTTGGGAAAGATGATTTAAATCCCCTCCATGCTAATTACATCAAAATTTCGTGTAGCAAAGTAATTTAAAGTCATAAAGTTTGCAATGTATTCAAAAATGCATTTTTGTTTTCCTGAACTTTTTTAATAACATCAACTAGTGTATCGGGTAGAAACCGGATTATATATGCGGGTTATATTCACACCGTACCATCAAAAGTCTTGTGGAAAAACCAAGCTTAGCTCAGTATTAATTTGAAAATATAAATCTTTCCGAACAAGCTGAGATGTGCTCAGCATATGTTTGGAGGTTTAACGAGCATTCTTTAAAGTTTTTTAAGAACATTTTTCATCCAAAGTTTAATTTTATAAAAATCACAGTAAACTTTTGTTTTAAAAAATTCGTAAGAAAGGAAAGTTTTTTGCTTTTTCTGAAGCAACGACTGTTCATACCTTGCCCAAAACTATACAGCTATTCAATAGAGCAGCACGGATCAAATGTAAAAAACTAGAAGTCTCTACGATGTCTCGTTATTGAGATTTCTTGCTGATTAACTTGCTTGCTTGCTTGCTTGTTCGCTTACAGAAAGCGTATTTTGCGATTTTCTCAGCAATGCCGCAACCAATTTGAAATCTGTTTTTTGAAAATGATTTAAAATTTCAGGCACAAATTTTTTTTCTGGGACATTTTATAACCAATTTTGCTTCATTTTCTCACAAAATGCGAAAAACTGATTTTTCAATCTGAACAAAAGCAATACACAAAATTCACAAAAAATATTCGTTAATTAAATTGATAATCTGACATAACGCCTTAACTTTAGGAAGTTAGTTCTATGTCAAAAGAAAGCAATTTTTGTTTTTTACAAGATATAATAACTTTGAAATTTGTCACTATTGTGGTTTCGGAGATATTTAAAAAACCAAAGCATCACTCACGAAAAAAATTTTTTTTATTCGTCGGGGCCCAAAAAATAAATATCCAATGTTAAATTATCTACATTATAACAGCATTTCATCTTTATTTTAATAAAATTATACGATCTACATTTGGGCAGCATCTTATCTGCACTTTATACGATAAAAATCATCTGCATTATACCTTTTTCAAAGCAACAGCATTTCATCTGCATTTTAGGGAAAATAAATTTCATCTGCACTTTAGCAGTACCATCTGCATCTTGGCAGTACTATCTGCATTTTAGGCAAGCTCCATTTTAGGGATTTCTAGATTGAGGTATCATGAACACTATCAAAGTATCAAAAATTTCTAAAAGTAAAATGTGACGTTTACTAACAGTATATTTCTTAGCAATGTTCTGAGAATTCTTTTATAAGTCTATAGAATTTAATCCAGCTATATTCTTAATAAAAACAATTCTGCGAAGTTCATGAACATTATGAACAAAAAGAGTTTTAAGGAATTGTTGTCATAGCATCAAACGTTATTTAATCCCTTTCATCTAGTAACTATAGCACTGATATCTAATTAAAAGTTCAGTTTCAATTGTAGTATTTATATGCTGGAATCAGTTAAAGAACTTTTAATGATGAGAAAATTTCAACGTGAAATTTATCTCCACAAATATTATGAAAACTTTTTCATTAAAATAATTTATGTGATTTAATTCAGTTGTAGGCATTAAAATTTTTGATTTAAAATTAATTTTTTGAAAATACATTTTGCATAAAACATTTTCAGAAACTATATTTCATTCGTTATCCTAAATCTATTTTGTATGCTTTAATGATTAATTAAAACAATTTGAAATTCTCGGTAACAATATGATATAAGTCATGATTGTAGCCTGAAATGTTGAGATTTTATCTTTGAAAATAAACTTGATAAAAGTTTGAAGGAAAAAAAAAATCAATAATATTCTGCATATGTTGGATGTACATTTCCATTGGAATATAAAATTAATTCTATGTTATGAAAAAATTTTTTTTATTGATCTAATGCTTTTTCAATTGAAATATGGCTATGTGATGCAAACATATTTCAAAATACCACAAAGCGAGAATAAAAATTGAATATTTTATCATTCCACTGTATATATTCATTTGTCATGCACTATCCATGGCCATGGGCGTTTTTTAGAAAAATTTCGCTTATTTTGTGTTTGTATCTTAGTATTAAAATTTTGCCTGCCTGACAAACTCATAACTGAACCTTTGAATATGTATTAAACTACAAACAAGTTTTTTAACTGTAAAACTGGAATATTTAAACTGCATAATGTTTTCCATAACTAGCTAGACTAGATATCTTTTTTGTTCTTACATATAAGTAATGAATAAAATAACCAAAATATGATGAGAAGCAGACCTTTCCTACATCAACAAAAAAGCGGATTTTTTAAAATCAATATAACGTTCATTGAATGCTATTTCTAGTAGCATTTATAAATTGCATCCAATGTTCATCGTTTTTTTTGTTATCATAACATTCGTTGACATTCATGAGCCATAAATGGAAATGTGAAAATGCATATCCTAGGATGATTATATTATAAGCAGATAGTAACAATAGAAGCATGTATATTTCTTATCGTTTGTTATAATTTATTTCACTTTTGTTCTAAATTGTCTCTATTTTATATGTGTCAAGCGACGCTTAAAAGGACATGCAATAAAATTGCAACATAGCAAGAATACCAAACAATTTTAAAAATATGTTGATTCTCCTCGAAATATAAATTGATGAAAATGCTGGAATTTATGGTGAATGAACCAAGAACATAAAAACATAGTCGCAAAGAATGCAATTTATCAACAACAAAAGGAAAGGAAGTGATATTGGGAAGGAGGATGTATAAGTGGAAAAATATCATAAAACAAATTGGTGACCTTTTTTATTATCAAACATTATGCTTGATGAAGTAAGACAGGAAAATGTTTCTTCCTTTCTTTTCCTTTTGTCAACGAAAGTCGGAAAGGCAGAAAGAAAAACATAAAAATAGAGGAGAAGAGAAAACTTTCAAATAAAGCTTTGTGCTTTTTGTTCATCAGTATGAAAGGAACTAAATGAAATCAATAAACAAAAGTTTCAACTTGTGGGTTTCTTTAGCTCTTTGATTGGACTCAACCCTTATTCTGAAAAGTATACTTTTACGTGAAGTCTTCCAATAATGCAACAATCGGTTCTTATTTGTTCAGACATTTCCTCACAAAAAAATTAAAGAAGTCCTCGTGTTATTGATCGAGGGACTTAAGCGCATTTTTGTGTTAGCGATCAGTATTTGATCATCTAATTATTTTGCGTTCATTTACAGTTCATGAGAAGATTAGAAGATCATTAATTTAAAGGTTTATCATTTAACGTTTTTTTGGAATTCAAATTTTTTACAGGTTAAAAAAATCGAATTTCTGAACACACCCTGATTACAATTTTTACAACGGTAGAAAACAATTCAATTTTCTAAACGCACCCATCACGTGTTTTGCATATGAAATAAAAAAATCATTAATTAAAGTATAAATACACTGTTTTAAGACTCTTAACTGTTCGAACGGCCAATAACTCGATAGAACTGTTCTAATTAAACAAACCCGAGCTCTCAAGGATGTCTGGTTAAAAAGTTTTTATGCTTACCCAGCCGAGCAAACGAACGAACAAAGTGCATTATTAGGCTCCCTTTTCGAAAACAAGTTTTCAAAAATGCGCTAAAAAATTGACATTCAAGTCTGTGAGACGTTAGAAATATATTAATCTTAATTCCATCTTCTTTGAAGTCATTAAGATACTTGTTTTAAAGGTCAACAGAATCATGTAATGTGTATTAAATTAATACAGATGGCTCCATTACGAGACGAAATTATGACATTTTCCGTTTTTTTAATTTGAAAATATAGCATAAAGTTTGTTAAAATTCAAATTATTGGCTTTAAAATGTAAAATAAAAGTTTCATTGAATTTATGTAAAAACTTACCGAAATCATCATCATCATCATCGGCCATTCCTATTGCTTGCAATCTACTTATAGTTTTTTGGTCATTTTGTTTCTTGAATTTTCCATTTTCTGGATCACCATTTTTATCACTTTTATACAATTTGTTATTATTTTTATCCATTTTATTGTTATTCGTATTTGTATTAAAGTTGTTTATTCTGCTGTCACTCTCCAAATCAATTCCATTTCCATTTTTGTCAACATTACAATGGCTCCTTCGCATTTCATCACAGCACGCAAATTTAATATTGCCTGTTTCTCCAAGCATACCGTTAGTGATTTCATCATTTTGATTGTAATTTTGGTCATCAGAGTCTACACTCAGTCTTCCATACCGGAAGCGTTGTCGCGAGATATTTTTACCTGTGTAAAAATAATTTGATGTTATTCGTATAAGACAGAATCTATAAATAATGTTTGCGTGAACATTAATTCAATTAATAATAGATGAAAAAAATATCAAGAGCGACACAATTGAATAAAGAAGAATGAAAAAAAAACGAGCATAAGCGAGTAATGAGTCATAATATTTATCTTTCCTCGTGCTTCCAAAATTTAAAATAATTTGATTATGGCGTACTCTTGACTATAAAAATCTTTGCAAAATAAAAAGTGTGGGACATTGACGTGTTACATCAGTATTTTCATTCATCAATTATGGGCTTTAATTTAGACTAATGATTCTATCGTAAATTTTATACTAGCATACAGCAATGATTCATCGAGAAATTCAATATCCTCTACACTCACACTCATATACCATAAATTTAATTTAATGACGAAAATTTTCTGAATGTAGGAGTATGCTGAGTTTTGGTCAATTATTTTAACATTTAGAGCCATTTAAATTTCTCACAAAATATATTTTGCATTTGGATGGCAATTCCCAAATGGAATTTATTTTAAATGAATGTAAATTCTTTTTAATGCTATTGGTTTTGAATTGATGGTAATGCTTGCACATTTCAGTTTGTCAATTATGCTAAGTTGAACTAAAAAGAGCATTTGATAATCTATTTCAGTCACTTTTAAGAAAAACAAGCACAGAGGGGTTGTTTTTTAAAATGCGGTTTATAAAAATAGCAAAGCTGTATACATTTATTGAATATACTTATGATTTTTTTTGTAAAGGATTTAAAATTTTTGATCAACAATTCACCCACTGTGCTAGACTAATTACTGCGTCATTTTATGATCATCAATTGCAGACATTATAAAGCACCTATTAGCTGTTTTTCATCAAAAGTTCATCCCTTAAAACAATTTTCTATTCAAGGCAACATTGAATATCATCAATAAAGTCTTGTCAGGAATTTATTGTTTGAAAAATTGATAAACAAAAGCAAATGAAAATTTATTTTCATTTAAGACTGCAATCTATCTTTTACCTGCTTGTGCTCTTTATAAAAAAAATAAACTTTTTTGTTCATATTTTTTTTTTGTTTAAGGAACCGTAAAGATGTGATTATTTAAAGCTAGAGTAAATCAAAGTCATGGGTATTAAAAACGTCCCCGAAGCAGATTTTTTTAAAGCTGACAGAAGATATTAATGTATTTTTCGCAGTTATTTGCAATTAGTTCTTAAACATAAATAAGACAGCTTAAACCGTTCTTAAGATTAAGCGGAAAAGGAAATGATGCAAGCAGTGCTTGAGAATTAAGAAAAACGTAACATCATGAGGTGAAAAATGGTTTTTTGTTGCCTATAATGGGGTTCTTCAATTCGTAACGTGGCTGTTATTAAGGATTTAAAATTTTAATGAGACATGTAAAATAATTAGTACTCTTATTCATGGCTTGTAAACTTCCATATCTTGATTAATAAATGGTATCAGACTTTTATAAATTTACCTGAATCACTGCCATTATAGAAATTGACAGAATTTGATCTTCCCACATAATTGTTATTGATTGAATTGAAGAAATTGACAGCTCCTGTACGTCTCAGTATCCACAACATTTTTTATGATTATAAATTTTCCACCTTTTGCCTCTCACAATACCTTTCTTATTTAAATTTTTATGTTTTATATTCAGCACCACGATGAAGGGAAGAATAGCTGTAAAATCGATATAAAGATTTTCCCTTACGAAAATAACGCCTTTAATTTTAGCTTATTATTCGGTTTTTATATCCACGGAAAAAAAACCACAAGAAAGTTTGTTAATTTTACATTTTCCACACTTCCGTTTGAAACAAAAAATACTTAAATTTGCTTCTATTCGTTTCCTTTGCACAATGAATGAGCATATATAACTTTTTTTAGAAAAGCTTTGCGGTTTTCACTCGTTGTTATGAATTTATGGATTATTTCTAGTCTCAACCTTGCTCTTCAGTAGCAACTTTCCTCAAAAAAAAAAATCCAGTATTGAATTTCACTTTTCTATTTTCTCAAATTGTAAATGGATATCAATAACTTTCTTATTTATTCCTTATTCTGTTATAAATTTTCATATTTTTTTGTTACATTATTCACATGAAAAAGCAAATGAAATGAAGAACTGAATCGACTTTTATTCAAACGAAATTTCCTTAAAAGAAAATCAACTATTCAACAATATTTAAATGAGCTTGATATGTTAAATGTATTGCAATACAATACGCAATACTTGTATACGAAAGTAGCAAATGATAAGCAAAATAAAAATTTTACGTATGATTTGTTTGAACTTGGAATCGCAACTGTTGGCAAAATAAAATGTGATTGAAGTTTGATGATTTTCGAAAAAGATTCTATACGTTTGCGCATTTCATTCGTGAGATAATCAACAACGAGAGAGAAAATTTTCCATTCATAAAAAACTTTGAGCTTTTTTTTATTGTTTTACGTATATATCTACTGTAAAGCAGCATGCTTCTTCAGATCGAATTTTTGTGACCTTACGCAACATTTTTGAATTTTGTTTAATTGATTTAATAAAATATTGTTCTTCTTTTATGCCATCTTTTAAGTTATAAAGTATCAATGAATTTGTTTTAAAGGTGGTAAAATGACAATGATGATTACTCTAGAACAATAATTGACACGTAGGAATTCTTGTTGACTTATTCTTAGCACTGCTATTTTGCCTTTAAAACACATAGATCATAACATTTGGCATTTAATTTATTTTAAGACTATAAATTATTTTTTATGCTTTTCGCACATTCTTTCTTCCTCATAAAACACTCAAATGAACATTTATGTATGGATCATAATATGAAAATGAGTTATAACATAATTTATATATTTGTTTGATGATGGAAATCCTTCAATCATGAGCATCATCAAAATGAAATCACTTAAAAAAAGCAAAATCGATAAATGTGTGAAAATTGCTTTTCTTATGGAAGTTGAACATGATTTATGGTCGAAATAACGATGAGAAAATGTAAAACCCTTGAAATTTTATGATGTTAGTAAAAAATCACTCTACAATCAAGCATTTTTCTCGACCTATTGAACAGGAGTAATTTCTTTGGAATTTTTTTAAATGCCTGGAGTCAATAAAGGTATTAAATAAATTTTCCTCAAAAGAATTACTGAATCGAAATTATTCTTACGTATATCTCAATTTGAAGCTTTTGCCAACCAAGCTAAATATTCCCACTTCATGAACAGCGTTTCATATGTCAACAAAAGCCACCTAAATTGAAAAATGAAGTAAACACCGTAAAGCTTCTGGTGACACCTTGATTTAGTGGTATTGCAATGTCTGAAGCATATACGGAGTTTTCGAACGAATTTTTCTGCGTTTGATGGAGTTTTAAAGGAAGTCTTCATATATTTTTTCCTCTTTGAGTGTCAATAGTGGTCTAAAAGTGTTAATAACTGAACAACATTTATTTTATCAAAAAACGTTTAAGTTGGCAACATTTTAATGCTAACTTTACATTAATAAAATCCCATTATGTGCACGAAGCATAAAAATGTTTTTCCATGTGAAAACTTGCTCTATCGGTGTTAAAGGATCAAAATTATAAACGGATCAAAGATGGTGGTCGGAAATTTATTTGAGTTCTATCTATATTTGTTTTGTTTCTGAAACATAGCCATTAAAATGAAACACTACGATAGAAATCAATTACTCGCTCAGCAATAAATTATAATTGTAGCAAAAATTCCATAAATAAGATTAATATTTTCAATAAAACATTTCTAACCTTCCTCAATGGAAATATTTCATACAGAGATACGCTATAAATACTTCTTTTTTTTTTAATTTTATGTTGCATTAATTTATTGATCCTGACATTCATTTTCGCTTTTGAATTTATGTTGCCAGGTTCTGTCATAATAAAAAATTCCATCTGCTTTAATGCTTCTGTTAAAATCGATCTTCTCCCCATTTAACCTTTCAACATTACACAATGTGTCAAAATAAATATAAATATCAGAAATAGAAACTTTGAAATGTATTTCTGTAATTTATATTGATTTCAGAACTATGACTCTATGTTTTTTTCCGCAACTTCTCTTTCCTTTTAATTAGGACATAAAGAAAAAGTTCCTAAGCGCTAGAAAACTTATTACCTTTTCTCACGAATTTCTGTATACTTAATTCTATTTCCATTGATGAGAACTTTATTGCTATCGCTGATTCCTTACAAATTCTCAATTTCTATTTTTATGTAGCACGCTAATGAAAATAATCTTAAAAAATATATTTAACACGCTGTGTAAAATTATTCCAATAACTTTGTGTTAATTGAAGTGTCAAATGTAATAAGAAAGGCAAGAAAAATATTTTACAATTACTTTACTTTTACAATATTTCGATAAAATAAGATTATAATCTTTTATAAAATGTACAATGAAGCAAATAAAAACGCTTTGGGTAAAAAAAAATAGTTTTTAAAAACTAAAATATTCAAAATTAAAAGAATTTCAAGCAAAACTTTTACTTGGGTGCATATGTGGATGAACAGCATGAAATGTGAAAACACGAAATCGGATTTTGATTATTCAGAAAAGTTCATTACAAGATGAGAGCAAAAAAAAAAATCAACAAGAAAAAGTTTTTCAACAAATATGTATGCACACATATTCTCGCAATCAAACGTTATGATGGATGTTGAAAATGATGGAAAATAAATGTATGCAAATTGTTAGACCGAGAAAAGTTTTAAACACCTTATTCGAAATTTGTTGGTAGAGTTTATAATTTTTTATGCTCCAGAATATTTATCATTCTTGTTGGTTTGCAAATATGACCTACTTGACATTATTTTAAATTGAGAGTTTTACTTAAGGAATGAAATTTATAAAAAAAAAAAAAATCAATTTGATGATGACTAAATTGCTTTTTAAGCTTTACTTAGCCAAAATAAGTCTTTAGAAAATCAGACAATTTTATTTTTATTTTCGATATAAAGCCACTACCGATTATTCTAGCTTATGTAAACGGATTGTCTGTAATTATATTTTCTCAAAAGTTAAACAAGTTGAAAGCAATTTTAAATCTTATCTGAATGCAGCCCTGATATAAATTTAATACAGTAAATTTTGCACTCATTAAGTTATGTGTTAAAATCTTTTATTTAAGATATGTCTAATTTATTTGAGCATACAGAAGTAAGCAAAATTATGTAAATAAAAAGCTGTCGCATTCAAAAAATCTGTTTATGTTATATCTTTAATGAAGACCCTCTCCTAAATCACAAAATTTCTCCCTAACACTTATGGATACAAAATCCACACAATCATTTTGGACAACAGTCTGAAAGTGACTTTTCATGTTAGGGGCGATTTGATTTTTTTTTTGACCACAGGAGATTTTTTGATTTCATTGCGACATTAACATAAACGATATGTACACTTTTCTAAGCTTGGAAATAAGATTTTAGCTTTTTGGTTGCCGTAGCTTTTAAGAGTATTGGCTAAGGAATGACAAACTAGACCGCACTTATCAAATGGTATTTTCATTTGTTAAAGTATTTCTCAAATAAAAATAAGATATATGTTTATGCTCAAATTCTTCTTGTTCATTAATTTTGTTTCATGAAAAGTTTCTTTTTTTTTCTTTAAAAAAAATACATTTGATGTAAAATTAATTTCTCTTGGGATTCATTTCTCCTTTTTTTTCATTATCAAATAGTTCTTTATCTATTGAGGACATTTGAAAAGGATCGTTCCAGCCCTTTTTAAAAAATTGTAAGATTCCAGCAGTTTCCAGTTTTAAGGAAATATTATATGAGCGCATTTTCTGTAACAGGAAGCTAATATTTGAGGAAGTAAAATTTCTGAAGGTCACAGTATTCTATTCATACTCAAGATACTCTCATGTTTACTTCTTGCAATACTTTCAAGTTCATAAGAATTAAGTAATTTAAGTTTTTGTTTTAAAATAAAACAGAATTTGTAGTAGATTTACTTTCACATTGCCTGAACGAGACAGTGAGAAAGTTTTGTATTTAAAGAAGCCTTTTTGATGTAATAAAAATAATATCGGTAGAATTTTAAATTATAAGGCATCAAAAATGAATGCATCCTTTTGACCAGCACTATTTTCTTTTATTACACACATATTTATCTTTTTAAAAAGAAAATTGAGAAAGAATAAAGGATTATGGGTTAAATTTATATCTTTTCATCTTACATCCTTTGAAACCATCGTTGTTATAGTCTTTTTACTACATAAACTGAAATTAGAGAACTTATTGTTCTATAAAAGTTATTCCTTAGCATGAAAATTATCGAAAATTTCTATCGGTTTGTGCTGTAAAAAGAAAAAAAGCGACTCGCTATCGTGACTCGTAGCTTGCACATAAGAAAGAAGCAACTTTACACCGAAATAAGAAGGATGAAAAGGTCACTTCAGTTTGATTGTGATAAATGTTTTTAAGAATGTGCTACACTATACATTAATTTGTATGATGACGAATTTTTCATGCCAGTTTCATTATTCCCTTTACGTTATTAAAGCTACCACGTTCCATACAAAAAAAAAAACAAGTTTATTGTTCCTTTTTTCTTCTTTTCATGATTGCGTGTGGACATTGCAATTAATGAATTCTAAGCTATTTTTGAAATTAATTGAGTTGTGTCTAATTTGATAATTGCAGAGTAATGAAAATTTTCGGTTTGTAATTTAAAATAATTGATGTTAAAAACTGCTCGAAAAGAAATTCTTAATGATCAATAAGAATAACATTTTATAAAATACCTGATGACTCTTTCCTACTTTCTTCAGATTCATTTATGAATCCTTGTCCATAACAACAATATTGTATATTATAAAAACTGTTTTGTTATCAACATAATAAAGATTCAATGAGCAAAAATTAGATTTTATCTCGATACATTCCGACAGACATTACTATAGATATTAAGGCTTCGTGTAATGTTATAGGTTGTAGGTTGTATTATAACAACAAAATATTCTCATTACAGAATTTTTATCATTACAGTCTTCTTATTTTCAACTTTTCCCTTGTTCCTTTTTTTTATGTATACGCTATATCTCCACATAG